CATGACCAGTGAGGTGTAAAACCTGAGAGAACCCCAAATAAAGCAGCCCCTGTAAAGTTGTTAGTGCTGGTTACTCTAGTCCAACACACACTCGAGTGGAAACAATCTTAGGAAGGTGAGTCTTGGGGTTAGGGCATCCCAGATCTTGATTTGGCATTGATTGTGGCTCCTCTCTTATTCTCTTTGGGAATTAGTAGTAAGCTTACTGCTAAGCAAGACTTGTTTTGTATAGTTCTGACTGAGAATTGAGCACTTTGGAGGAGGGCAGTAGCTATTACTTGAACTAAAGATGAACTGCAGTCCTACAGCCAGGCATGTGGGATTAATGAGCTAGCAAAATCTAAGTCTCTATGGCACAATGTTAAAGTGACTTCAAACTAGGGAGTATTTGTGAGAAGGTAAAAGGAGAGAAGTGCTGAAGTAACATCATTATCATCTCAGAGCTAAATGCATTAAAGCTGCTTCTTTATAATTCTTATATTTGGAAGTGGCAGACTAACAGATGGAGGGAATGGATGATGTGTTCCTAACACAAATTACAGAACTGGCACAAAGGCAAAATGAGGGACTTTCTGGACATCTGCTGGAAGTCTCAGTTGGCTAAAATCAGAGATTCTGACAAGTTCCTGACTTGCCTTGCTGATGACTTCATCTCCCAAAAGGCAGAGAGAGCAAGAACAGAAACTGCTTTTCTAATTTTGACCCTCTCCTCAAAAGGATTAGCAGGATCGAAGAGATGGAAAGCCTTGAGGGGAGATGGAAAGCCTTGAGGGAGAGAAACAAAGTCGTTTTGGAAGTTACTACAGCCATGAAGGGAAGGCTGGGCCTGTACGGACATATAATCTAGATACTGTGAAGGCTAGCTTCATAAAAGTAAGAGGAAAGATAGACTCACTTCCATGAGACAAGGTTCTACCAGGGAAGAGAATTGTGAATGTATTAGGTTCCTATTGCTGCTATAACAAATTACAATATAATTAATGACTTAAAATGGCACCAGTTTTTTATCTCACAAGTTTGTGTCTCAGAAGTCTGGGCACAGTGTGGCTAAGCTGGATTCTGTGCTCAGGGCATCACAAGGCCAAAATTAATGTGTTGTCCGGGCTGGAGTTTGTCTGGAGGCTCTGTGGAAATCTCCACTTCCAAGCTCATTCAAGGTGTTAACCAAATTCATTTCCTTGACTTTGCAGCCAAATAATGTCCCTGTTCCTTTTCTGGCTGTTAGCTGGGGCTAGTATTTTCTCCTAGAGGTTGTCCATGTTCCTTTTCATGTGTTTCATGTGGCTTCTTTCAGTAAGAGCGATTGAGTCCCTCTCACAGTTTAAATCTCTGACTTCTCTTTCTGCTTCCCTGACTCTGCTTCCCTGACTTTCTGTATCCCCTGACTCTATGTGAAAAATTCTTTGGCTTTAAGGATTCATGTGATTAGATTGGGTACATTTGGGTCATCCAGGGTACTTGGCCTTCTTAAGGTCTATAAATTTAATTTTGTCTACAAAGTTCTCCTTTTCATGCAGAAGGGCAAGGATTAGTTCATGGACATCTTTGGAGGGCTGTTCTGCATACCACAATCAGAATTTTCTTAATAAGGTATGACTATAGAAGGGATCAAAGTAAGGCATGAAAAAAGCAGATGAAATTTCCCTTCAGCTCAAATTTGTAAAGGGTACATATAAAAAGTTCTTGGACACTTAAATTTTAAGAATAGTGTCAGGAACACTAATACCCTAAATGAGCTGGTGCATCCAAAAATGTTAAAAAGAAATATTGAAAGGACCATTATCTGTATATTTTCAGTGACAAAGTAAAGACAATTTTAGACCTGGAGCTGGCTGAGAGAAGTTTCATGACTATGTAAGAGATAAGGGAACTTTTCTGTTAAGACAAATGATCTTCAGACTGGAAAAAAAATCATTCAGGAAATGTAAGCATTAATTAGGTGCTCAAATGAATTGCTTCTTGGCCTATTCTAGCTGAATTATATGCTAGGGCAGTGAGAGGCTTTAAGGAGGAAAGCACCAAACATGGCCTTTGAGGAATCATGTTGATTGGGTAAGTTTGAAGAAATACAAAATAGAAAGGCATTGACTCTGTCCTGCTGTGTTTAGTACTTAAGACAATGACTTATGCAAGGATATAGAAATGGTTGGTCAGAAGTATCTTCTTCTTTTATCATGGAAGAAAGTTAATCCACTGAAACTTCCCAGAATTCTGATTTGAATGTTTATTAATAGCTATTAACTATGAAAACTCATTCAGATGTTATAAATTGATGTTGACACAAATAGTGACTAAATAATATTCTTAAAAAGGTAAAAGAGGGTAAGTGCCTGGAAACTCTTTTTTTGTGCAAAAAAAAATACAAAGAAGATACTTAACAAGTTCTGATATCAGTCTCTAGTTTCTCCATCTTAAGGAATTGAAAACCCTTATCCAGAGTGGAAAAAAAAATTGAACTGATCTGTAGAGTTTTTTTTTTTCAGAATTTGGTAATTCTTTTTAAATTGTGCTGTGTTCCTCTTGTCCTGAATAATTTCTACTTTGATATATATTTTTTAAATTTCTAATTGTAAATTAAAATAATGTGTTTTTTTCCCCTAACAAGTGATTTTTTTGAATACCTATTATAGGTCAGACCTGGCTTCAGATAGAATTGTACTGTTTCTTACCTCTCTGCTTGTTTGTGGGATCAATTTTCTTCTTCCTGAAATGCATTCCTAGAGATAATTTCTTCAGGGAAGGTCTGTGGAAGGTAAACTTTCTCAGGCCTTATGTACCTGAAAAGGTCTCTATTTTATACTTACTCCTAGATGATAGTTTAGATAGTTATAAAATTCTAGGTTTATTACTGTTTTATTTCACATTGAAGGGCATAATTCCTTTATCACACATTTTCTTGATGATTTTGAGTGTTCTGTCATCTACTAATTGTTATTATTTTGTTGCAATCTGTTTTTCTCTTTGATCACTTCTCCTTGTCATTACCATTCTGCAGTTTCATTTTGGTGTGTCAAAGTGTAGATTTGGTTTTGTTTCATTTTCCCTGAAATTTTTTATAATGCTTGATTGATGATATTTATATCCTTTATCAGTTCTATAAATTTGTGAGTCATTTTTTCTTGAAAATTTGCATCGTCCCTACTCTCTCTGCTTTTTGCAATTTAGGCCTTTATACTCCATCTTATAGAGTCCTTGACCTCATTTTACAAAACATTTCTCCTTTTATCTCTGCCTGCCATGTTCCAGATAATTTCTTCAGTTCTAGCTTCCATTTTACTCTTGTTCAGTGTCTGATGTACTATTTGACCAAGCCATTGACATTTATTTTCATTTCACTGACTATATGTCGAACTTCTCCAAATTCTTTGACCTTTTTTCCAAAACTGTCTGGTCTTGTTTTCAATAGATTTCTCTCTCATATTCTCAATTTTATCTGAATAATTATTTAAAGTATCCATTTGATCATTTTAAAGTAACTACATCATCTGAAATTTGCTTCCACTGACTCAAATTCACAATGTTTTCTTTCCTCCTATGTTATGGAGATTTGTATATTATATTTATTTTAATGAGGAATTCATCTGTGAAAATCTTATGGAGCCTCAGTTGAGTATCTTTGCTTCTGTCAGGCAATTATGGAATGTATATATTATATATATATATATATATATAATATATATACTATGGGATACATACAATATAGTACAAATATATAATGTATTATTGCATATTATATATTTATAAATTATATATCTATTATACAAATGTGTATGTGTGTGGGGAGGGTATATATATATGTATGTGTGTGTATATATATATATACTGGAAAAAATTTATATGTAGCGGAAATTCACATTGTAATTTTATATAATCCAGGATTTGGAAAATGGATAACTTTTTATTTATTAGGAATTTAGTAGTCTTTTGGATTTGAATGTAAGAACCCAAGGTAGCTTATACAGGAATGTAGGGTTTAGTGAGAGAATGCAGCATTGTTTCATTGAAAGCTAGAGAAATGAGTTAAATCAAAGCCATACAATAATATACTGGCAGATAGATAATACCTAGGCCATATCTCTTTCTCTCATGCTCTCCCTCCCCCACCACTAAAAATTATTGGAAAAAGTCATATTGGATCAATTCATATGATATGGGAGCTTGTTCACATCTTGTAAAATGGATTTTAGAGGATCTTCTCTTTAGATAGGTAGAAAATAAGGATGGGATAATTATAATTTTAAGAGACTTAGAATTTTTTTTTGGTATCATCTAAATTGACTGACAACTCTCAGTTCCCAAATACTAGGCTTATTTAGCAAGTTATAGTTGATAAATGATGCTATCAGCACATAAACAGACTTACCCAGTAAACATGGAACTCAGAGAGCAGGAACATTACAAAGAACATAAATTATGAAACCTAAGAGAAACAAGAAACCTAAAGAGGAATAGAGAATCCATAAAGTTCATCATAAAAACCAGATCTTCTAAATGAATGATGTCTTTTAAACCTGCAGGTAGTCAGTAATTTCTTTATTTAGAAAATGGAGACCTTGAATTTCAGACTGGCCCAGTATCACACATTTAATAAAAAGTAGAGCTGGCACTTGAATTCAGTTCCGATCCAAAGGTATCCGTTTTCTAAGAGCACAGTGTTATAGTGCAAGGTTAACATGATGAGGGCAGCAGGCAGTCCTGGAGCTCAGATAGGCTTGAAGAAGCCATATTCTTTCAACTTTCAGTAAATTTTGACAAGGATTCACAGAATAGCTTCAGAATGAAATAAAGAATGTAAGTGTCTTAAATGAATATAACCAGATTATTTTAAATAACCTATTTCTGTTATTAAATCAGATTCTCTTAATCTTGCTTTCAGTCTTTCATCTACTGGGATGAATTTTTATCCCTTGTGTAGCTTCTTCTGAATCCATATTCAATTAAAACTTTATCTTGTGTCCCTCTCTCCTCTGCCACAGCTTAAGTCATTTCATCTTCCCATACAGGTAGAACCCCAGGCTGTGGAGTCGTACTGCCTGATAAGCATTCTCTCCACCTGTTAATAGCTGTGTGGCCTCAGGTAAGTTACAAAATCATCTCTGTGTGTCTCAGAGACCTATCTGCAAAAATTTTAATTTCGGCAGTATTCTTGACTGGGGGAAGTATAATACACAGACACAGGGTGAAATGTTTGGCTTGCCTGTAAACTAATTAGGACAGATGCTGACCCTGGCACTGGAACAGGATCTTCAGGCATTTAACTTTTAATTGTTGGATAGAGAGGAGGTCAAAGAGGTTCTGGGAAAGGGGCACAATTAGCTGAGGGAGTGGGGGTGCTCAGAGGACTCAGTGCTTGGGCTATTTGCCAGTTAATGAATGAGTATTCTTATATGGTATGGCGATGCTGTTGTACAAATTTGTTATAGCCTTGGGCTTGTGCAAATAAATAAATAAATGAAAGTATTGATGAGAGAAATTAGCGCGTAATTACAAAACTAGCCAGGCTCAGGATTCCATATTAGAACATTGCTCTTCCGGTGGGGAGCTTGCCTTTAAATCCCATTCCACTGGAGTAGCTGATGAGAAAAGTAATAACCAATATTGGCTGAGCACTTCTTAAGTGTGAGGCATTGCGCTAAGTGATTTGCATACAATAATTGAGTTAATCTTCACAAAAACATTTTGAGGTAGGCATTTTAATCTGTAATTTACAGACCGAGGGAGAGAAAGTATCAGATCTATTGAGGAAAACAGAAAACTATTAAGTATTTCAAATAGAGGATATTTAATATGGAGGAAATGATAAAATAATGATGAAAGGCACATAAAATTATGATAGAAGAGAACAAAAAAAGGGATGCTGAGACCATCCTAAGATTAATAAGGGTGGGTAGCAGCTGTGATCTCTAGAGCTGGGAAGCAGTTCCAGATGGTGTTATCAGATCACAGGAGATTGGAGGAGGCACCCTAAGGGCTCAAGCTTGGACCCCTTCAGGAAACCTCCGCTTGGCTGGTGTTAGATCTCTGTGGAAGTGTTATAGCCAGGCAGGCGCTCAGACCCCTGAGGGCACTGACGGATATTGGGTTCTCTAACCAGCAAGCACCCCAGAGATAAGGAAGGGAGGCAGAGCTGCCATTCCCACTGCCTCCATGGGGCAGGAACAGGTTTGTGTCTAAACCTGTGTGGATGTGGTGAGACTAACGGGGGAAGCGAAAGAAGAAGGGATAAGCTAGAGCCAATAATTTGCTGCTGTTGGAGCAATGCTGATAGAAACTGAACAAGATGGGATACAAGGCTATTCCAATTACTTTGATCACCGCCCCTCCCCACCCATGGCGGAACCAAACTGTAATCCAGTAATCCAGCTGATCAGGGATTCTGGGAAATGCATTTTACATGGTCTCAACACAAGCATCACAGAAAAGTGTAAAGAATGGTGAGCTTGCAGGGAGCAGTTCTCTCTCCACACCACCCTCTGGGAAATGAGGCCCGTCCCAGTCCTGGGATGCCCTGAAGTCACGAGTCGTGGGACTCCTTGGGGCCTCTGATTAACCCCATGCATAGAAATGAAATTTGGAAATTACCTGAAGGAGAGACATGGGTCCTAGTCTGAGCCTGAGACTCAGCCTGGACATTATTGCTGGTCTCAGCTGTTTCCAGGGCTTATAGAAGTGGGACCTTGACAATTCTGAAAGAGGCCTTTCAATGTCTAGGGCTCCTTGAAGCACAAAGCCTGGGGCAGAAGCCCCACTTGTCTAGATCTAAGGGAGTCATTTGGTCACCATTTTGAGCTCCAAGAGGGCAAGAATGGGTGTGTTTTCCTCATGGTTTCCACAGTACCAAATGCTTAATAAATTTTTAATGAATGAGTTGGAATTTGATTGCTACACATGAGAAAGATTAGTTAATCATGACAAAATTTTAACTCAGGGCTCCAGTTCCTTAAATGTAAAGTATATCACATAACACCTTTCTCATAAGATTTTCAAAAGACATTATTGTTATGTCATGCAAAATGGTTAGAAGAATATGAGGCACAGAGATATACTTCATACCTACCTGTTGAACAAATGAATGAATAAATTAAGGAACTCATGGATTCGTGCTTGTAGAGCTTTACTTAATTCATGATTTTAGACTTTATCATGACTTTGAAAATTAATATAAGAAATGGTTGGTCTGGCCCTCATTTACTCTGGCTAGTTGGCAGAAGAATATAATAGATCTTTTCTCCTGTCCTTTTCTCTTTTTCTTTTCGAAGAATGGAACTTCTAGGGTTCTGGGCACCAGCATTTACCTTAGAGTCTACACACAGTGGGAGTTGAGTTTTTGTAGAATTCAGTTGATTTTATACACATTAAACTAATAGATTTTATTGGTAGCGCTCTGGACTTGGAGCTTTCCAGGGTCTATAAGTGCCTAGATTTTCTAATCTGCCGTAAGCATACAGAAGCTGAAAAGATTCTGAGAAATATCTGGGTTGGTTTACTTTTAGAGGCTTTGTAGTAGAAGAACTAAGAAGTGAATTTAGAGGGTTTAATTTCCTTGTCGTTATTTCCATTTTTCATCTGCTTAAAATAGCACTCTCAAAGACTTAAAGATTATAGAAACTGTAACTTAAATATTTGAAGCGTGCAGAAAAATGTTCGTTTTTCATTTATTCTTGTTATGTACATTGTATAACAAGCAGACAAATGTTGGATATTTAATTCATCTACAGGACTCTCTAATTCATATTAAAAAATACGCTAAGATTTATTCATAGTGTAGCTTTTCTTGGAAAACCTTTGAGGGCTAAGATTATCCTTTATTCATACATAAAACCCTATGTCTCAGGCATATTTTATCTTAAAAAAACAACCAGTGTTTGAGAAAAATGTATAATGCCTTTGTAACTAAAATCTAGAAATATCTCTGCAGAGGTTTAGCATATTCTGGAGGAGAATACACGACAGTCTGTGTAATCTTATTTGAAATTGGTGTAAAATTAATCAAAATGTGTACTCTTTAAATTTCTCCTTTGCATTTAAAATGTTGTTAGGCACACACGGGTAATCTTATAATGTCAGCCACATATTTTTCACCTTAGATAAGATTGTGTGAGGATGGCAGCTGTCAGCATGATCTTTGGCATAAATTCAGGAGTCTGATAGTTTCCACTGTAGTCCCAGCTACCCATGAAGATAGTGTCAAGTTCAGTAATAAGTGTAAAACTGTCCTGACCACAGGATCTCATGATTTTCTTCACTGTATCATGAAGATTCAACCTGAACTGTAACATCATGCTAATTTACTGTATAGTTGATACTAGATTTCCTTCTCCAAGGAAAAAGAGGAAAATAAAATAGATGAGTTGTACCATGAGAATACTTAACTGGATAACAGCTATATAGCCCTTGATTACTGATGACTAATGGTACAACAATTCTCTGCCTACTAATTTAAAGTCACCGTTTGAACAATAAAGCTTAAAAAAATCCCTTAATGTTCTTCTTACTTAGAAATATTGAAGTAGCTGTGATGGCCCTTTGCTTTTGTTTAATGATCACCACCTTAAGGTTTCATTAATTCATTAGATTTTACTAATCTGGAATGGGGATCACTTTTTGGCAATGCCATTTGTTTCTATTGAGTCTCACCATCAGACCTGTGAACAATATCAGCATTCCATGCCCTGAATCAGCTGTAAAGGTGGACCATGCTCAAAGTGTAGGAGACGGTGTATGTTAGCTCTTTGCTGTTTTGGTTGTTGTTGAATTCTGATAGCTGAAAGCCTCCATATTCAAAATGTTCTCAACTGCTAGTTGCTCCACACTGTGCGCTTTTATTATTTCTTGAAATTGTAGCTGGTTATAATATCACTAATTGACTTTTAGTTCACTTTTGCTCATTTGAGCTGTTTTGATGTGTGCATGCAAAATACATTGTTAATAAAGGATACATAGCAGTGATCTCTTTAACAGATCTTTCTTTGTGAGTTTCATTGCTACAATGTGGTAGATGTATAGGGGACAAACAGGAAAGAAAAGTACTATGTTGATGCCATTCTTCTGGAAAATTCCATCAATTCAATGCAATGCATGTTACCCACATACAGGCATGCCTAATGTTAAAGATCTATAAATATTTATTTAAAAAATAATAAAACCTCAGTGAGTAGAGAAATGCGTTTATTTAGAACAGATTAGTAGATGACAAGAAGTTCTAAGGTATTGGTACTCTACATGACTTTCTGACTACTGGATCATTATTTTTAGGAAAATTTCACCAACATGTTGGGTCATTCATCTTGGAAATAAGCAAGATTATAGACAAAATGCAATTGTAGTGATTTAGTTTAGGCTTAACATACACTGAGGTTTAATTTGGAGGAATTTTTAAATTAAGATTGTTTTTATGCATCTGGTATGAGGGTGTGTGATAAGAATTAGGTGGCTTCCTGCCTCCATGATTCTTCAGTTATAGTTGGTTCAACATGTCCTGGTGACATCTCTGCTCCACCCCCACCCCCCAGTCCCCTCCTCAGCAGAGGGTATGTAAAAAGCTTTAGAGCAGCTGCCTGACAGCTAACTACTTTTGTTATTAGGGCTCTAATCTTTGCCCCAGACCCAGTATTTGAGTGTTTGATTGGAGTCCATCTCTATTATGTGGTCCCTGTAGCAGTTCCTAATGTCTTTGTATCTCTGAGGCAGAGCGGTGGGGAAACACCTTCGCAGCCCAGGGCAAAATACCTTTGATACCTTTGAAACAGCAATCAAAGGGAGAAATAAAGTGCGAGAAACCCCATTCATTGCTTACAAGCACTCATACACTTCTGCTCCCCTGTGTCTCTCACTATCGGGCTGCAAAAAGGAACCCCACCCAACCTCTCCAGTCCTCACTCTCCCTTGTAATTGCCTACTGATATGAACATGCACTAAGGCCAGGCAAGAGATTTTGGAAACACTGCCATTTTACCCACAGTCTTTCATGTGGAATCTTACCAAGATCTTATACTAAATTTTTTACCTTTTGGTTCTTTTATTTGTTTGCTAGGGCTGCCATAAGAAAGCACCACAGACTGGGTGGCTTAAACAACA